AGAAAATGTTCAGATTCTAAGGAAAGAATTCATTTTGGAGTCTCAGACCACATTTTCCCTGATTCAAAGAGCAGCAGAGCAAGGAAAGAATTCATTTCCTTCCCAGTGCATTCAAAGGGGGAAAACATGCATGCATCATGGGAAGAAAATGTTCAGATTCTAAGGAAAGAATTCATTTTGGAGTCTCAGACCACGTTTTCCAGATCCACACAGCAGAATTAAAAAGGCAGAGAAACGGAAAGAATTCATTTTGGAGTCTCAGACCATGTTTTCCTAGATCCAAAGAGCAGGACCAAAAGCCTCAGAAGCCCATTTTCCTTCCCAGTGCATTCAAATGAAAAAAAAACATGCGTGCCATCCAACTCTAACCCAGACAGAAATTTTCTGATTCAACAGCCTATAATTTAAATTTACAGTACAGTACTGTACACTGCAAGACCCATCAGAGCACAGAAACATACAGTACTGCACAGTACTTTAACCCCCCACCTAGCCCTAACCACCCCCACCAAGCTGCAAAAGAAACCATTACAACACAGCAGAATAGTACTGTACAGTACTCACCCAGAACAGGCAGCCTCTCTGCTTAAAAAAGACAGTCAAAAATGAAAAAATAAAAAATAAAAATCCAAAAAAAGAATCAAAAAAAATACAGCCCGGTACTGTAAGGCAGTACCAGCCAATACAGTACAGTGCCAGTTAGTACTGTACTAGGAACATTCACTGAATACAGCACTGTAACCGATGGGACGAGCGAGGAAGCAGGCTACAGGACTGTTCTCTCTGCCCTGGCCAACGGATGAATGAAAGCTGTTTGAATTTGCTGCTTTCCCCACCTCTCCCACTTTTTTGCCCTTATTTGGTCCTAGGCACTGTTCTCTGTTCCCTGGCCAATGGACAAACGACAGCAGTTTGAATTTCGCACTTTCCCCGCCTCTCCCGCTTTTTTCCCGCCACTTTTCGGTTCGTGCGTCAATTCTCTGATTGCAAGTCAAAATGGATTTTTTGCGAACGGAGAAGTACGTAACTCGAAAAGTACGCAAGTCGAGCCGTTCGCAAGTCGAGACCCCACTGTAAATAGATAAAGAGAGAAATATAGATATAGATAGATATAGATATATAGATATATAGAAATAGATAGATATAGATAGATATAGATATAGATATAGATACAGTGGTGCCTCGCATAACGAGCACACCATTTAATGACAATCTGCATAGCGACGCGTTTTTTGTGATCACTAATGCGATCGCATTGCAATGTTTTAGGTGGCTAAACATCACATTGCGATGATCGATAAGCGTTTCGCTTACCGATTATCGCATTGCGATGTTTTTTAAACAGCTGATTGGTGATTCCAAAATGGCTGCCACATCCACAGAATGGCTGCCCGCAGCGTTTTCGCACCCTGCCCTCACTTACTGGGCAGCGAAAATGGTGGCCGGATGGAGGATTCCCCACATCGTGGTGA